CCTTTTCTTTTCTCTCCTTCTGGAATCCCTATAAAGTGAGTGGTAGTGCACTTGACATTGTCCCAGAATATTTTTTAAATATTCTCTTTTCTTTGTGATGTTCTGATTGGGTGATTTCCACTATTCTTTCTTCTGGGTACTAATCATTTCTTTTCTATTGTCTAATCTGCTTTTGATCCCCTCTAGTATATTTTGCATTTCAGTTACTATATTCCTCAGCTCTAAATGGTTCTTTATTATTTTTCTAACTCTTTGCTAAAGTTCTAAATGAGTTCCTCTATTCTTCTTCCAAATCCAGTGAGCATCCTTATGACTGTTAATTTTAATTCTTTATCAGGCAAAATACTTATCTCCATTTCATTAGGGATTTTCCATTTTTCTTTTTTCTCCTTTTGGAATATATTCCTCTAGCTTCTCCCTTTTGCTTGACTTTCTGTCTTTGCTTCTACGAATTAGATGAAACAGCTATCTCTCCAGTCTTTAAGGAGTGACCTTGTGTAGGAGTGACTTCTGTGTAGATTATATGAGTTGGATGTTTTAGCAGGTCAGCTGAAGTGGGTCTGTGCAGTGCCTGGGGTCCTCTGGATGTCTGGCTGGCTGATTCTTCAACAGGAACTGGTTGAGTGATTCAGCATGCAGGGCTTCAGGGGTGCCTGAGGCTACAGCAGATTATGGCTGAGGCAGCTTGAGACATGGGTCTCTGGAGTACTTTAGAGAACTCGCTGGTAGGGCTACAGTGGGCACTGGCTAAGGTCATTCTGAGAAGGGGGCTGTTGGGCTGTTGGTACTCTGGAAAACCAACTGTCTGGGGCTGCAGTGAACATTTTGAGGTAACTCTGGCTACATGACTCTGGATGTGCCTGGTGGGGGAGGGGGAGCACCATTCAGGGCTGCAGCAGCAGTGCTGGCTGTAGTAGCCCTGGGGCATGCCCTGTAGGCTTTGCCTGCTTGCTAGAGCTCTAGTTTGAGCTCTGCCCCCATTGTCTATAAGGAGCGTAATGAAGGGTAACATAAACAATGGTGCTGGCTAGCAACTCTGATCCCAGAGAATTCCCACAGATCCTGGAGAGTTCCTGCAGTACCCATACATTTGACAAGCATCTAGTCATTAGTAGATTTTTTAAATGTACAGTCTAAGTACTTTTAAAATCACCTTGTGTTTTTTTCTGTGCCCCAGAGGAGGCATGTCTGCCTATGTGAGCCCTGCAATGATATCCCTCCTTACTGCAGGTCTTCCTGTCTGGAAAGGATTCACATGGGTACCACCTTCTCTTTATGATCCTTCTCATTTTGCTGTGAAAAAGTTATTCAATCAGCCCTTATTTCTTCAGGATGAATTGCTCTATATGTAGGTGTATATTTGTGTGTCCATGTGAGGAGGTGAGTTTAGACTTTTTCTATGCCACCACCTTGAAGCCCTCTCTCGTTCCTTTTGTTGTTCTGATTGGGTGAGTTCCTCTTCCCTGTCGTCAAATTCACTTATTTTTCTTCTGCTTCATCTAGTTTGCTGTTGAACCCTTCTACTATATTTTTAAGTTTAGATATTATATTCTTCAGCTCTATAACTTCTGTTTGGAACTTTTTAATATCTCATACCTCTTTGTTGAAGTTCTCACAGTGTTTTATCTATTCTTCTTTCTTTTGGTGGGCATCTTTATGACCATTACTTTCAACTTTTTATTGGGTAAATTACTTATCTCCATTTCATTAAGTTTTTTTCCTGAGGTTTTATTTTGATAACACATTTGGAACATACTCCTGTGTTTCCACATCTTGATTGACTCTCTCCATTGGTTTCTATGCTTTAGATGAAACCACCACCTCTCCTGTTCTTGAAGTAGTGGCCTGGTGTAGATGAACCTTATTGTTCAGCCTGCCCTTGCTCTGGCTTGTTTCTCAATCCTTTGTGATTGTCCAAGCAGCTTATTTTTGTTTTTGATGCTCCCGTTAGTTTAGGGTGTGACATGACCTGTCAGTGTCCCAAAGGGAAGGCTGCACCTAGATTCAGGTTGATTGGAAGTCATATCTTCAGGCAGCAGATTTTTTTAAATGCAATCCTAAGGGACCAGATGATCTGTAGGTGTTTCCTGGGCAGTAGTCCCCAAAATTGGGGCTCCAGACAAAAGTCTAAGCTTCTTTCTGGGAGATGCTAATAAGCTGTAGCAAGGCAGAGAGACTACAAAGATGGTGTCCCCCAACCTCTGTTCCCTAAAAGTATAGCCTCTAATTGTGCCAAAAATGATTTTTGCTCTTATGGCAAAAGCTCCAAGACAAGAAAGTTTTTTTCAAAAATACTGGGTGTGTGTGTTTTAATCTTCTGTCTGTATAGTATCCTGGGCGTGGTGGCCTGACACAAACTGTCTCTCTGATTTGTACAGTCTCATGGGACACAGGAACACAAGAACCACTGGCTAATGCATCTAGGCCAGTGGTCGGCAAACTCATTAATCAACAGAGCCAAATATCAACAGTAGACTCGCCCAGGCCTAAAACTGACTTCAAAATAGACTCTCCAAGGCCTAAAACCGACTTCTGCGCATGGGCCATGAAGTTTCAATTGCAGTGTACACGCGCCCGCACATGATATTTTGTGGAAGAGCCACACTCAAGGGGCCAAAGAGCCGCATGTGGCTCTCGAGCCGCAGTTTACCGACCATGGGTCTAGGCAATCAAGGGGTATCCCCTGTGTGGCAATCACAAAAACCAGGGTACAAAATGTAAAAAGTGGGTCATGGAACACATTTAAAAACTCCCAAGAGGCCAAAACCGGTTTGGCTCAGTGGATAGAGCGTCGGCCTGCGGACTAAGGAGTCCCAGGTTCAATTCCGGTCAAGGGCATGTACCTTGGTTGTGGGCACATCCCCAGTGGGGAATGTGCATGAGGCAGCTAATGAAAAAAAAACTCCCAAGAGATGCAGGTGCTCTGGATTGTGGCAGAGGAACAATATAATACCTGTCCTCTGACTTCTCTGGAGAGGATTACAGTCAGCCCTTAGATGTTTGTTTCATTAGAAACCTGCCCCTCATACTGCAGCTTGAATGTAAGCTACCAGATCTCTCGCAGAAAGACTCAGCTCCTGGGTCTGTTGTCTTTTGCTGTGCCCTGGCAGTGGTAGTTGTTTAAGGACTCTTTCTCCCTGGGACACACATGTATAAGCCCTCTGGCCACCATTACCAGGAGATACAGAGGTGTTCCCTGGCAGCAACCACAAAAATCAGGACACCAGACAAGGTTATATGATCCTTTCTGGAAGGTACCAGTAAGCTGAAATAAGGCAGAGGAAGAATATAAAGATTGTGTCCACCAGCCTCCATTCCTTGAGAGCACCTCCATAGTAAGTGTGCCAAACCAGAAGCTTGGCCCTCAGGCCGAAGTTCCTGGACAAGCAAAGAAGACTCTTCAAAAAGACTAGAGGTGTGTTTCAGTCCATCTCGGCAGTGTCCTTAGAGTAGCAGTGTGCCAAGAACTGTCTCTTCAATTATTATAGTGCCCTGGGACCCAGTAACCTAAATCCCCTCACCTCCAAAGCCAGACAATCATGGGGCATCTCCTGGATGGCAGACTCAAAAATTGGGTCACAAAGCATAAAAACCAGAAGAACAGAAATGTTTAGGAGCTCTGTCCTGGAGATGATGGTAGTGTGGAGCACAGCAGAGGGAGAATACAAAGATATTGTCCACTAGAAAAAGGAAAAGAAACAAAAAGAGAAAAAATGATGGTACCCATTGGCTTTAGGAAGGTAGAGGGAGAATAGGAAGATGGCATTCACCAGCTTCTATCCCCAGAGAGTATCCCAGCAGCTCCTTTTCCTTCAGACCAATGCTTTAGAGTTTTGCAAATAATTATTTTTCTCTTTTCAAAGAGTTTCTGCACTGAGCCCTGGGGTGGGCGAGTCTGCATGTGAGCCCTTTAAGAACTCACCACAGCCCCATGTGTCTTGTGGTGTGAGCCCTGCTTGTTTTCAAAGTCAGATGTTCTGGGTCTCATCTCAAGTGTTGCTCTTAAACACTGGGGTGCCTGATGTGAGATACAAACCCTTCACTCTTCAGGGAGAAGCTCCAGGTTTAGAGTTCATTCAGACCATGGGTCTCTGTGCCAGGGGTGGGGCTTATGGTGAGATTGTATCTCAGCTTTTCTACCCACTTCAATGTGGTTACCATTTCATTTGCCCATTGTAAAGGGATTGCTTCACAAGTTTTTAGTTTGTTTATTTTTTCTCCCAGAAGAAATCACTCCATACATAGCTGTAGTTTCAGTGTGTCTGTGGGAAGTGAGTTGAGGATCTTCCTACATCGTCATCTTAAACTGGAACAATTTTTTTAAATTACTTCTGAGAACAGCCAGATTCTCCATTTTACTTTCCTCATCATATCCTTCTTTGTATGCCAATATATTTATTCACTTAGACACTATTTTAAGTAAACAACTTATTTTAAGTAATTGCATTTATGTAGGTGAGTACTTGACACAACCAATGTGTTTTTGGAGTAGTGGTGAGTTTTTCAGATTACATTTATGTAGAGTTTAGTCTTTAGATTTTCTGCAAAAAAATAGCTAGTCTAATTTGTAGTATGTGAATTCAATCAATGCAGTTCTTCTTAACTGAACAAGTTGTCATATGTCCTATGTTAATCATTACTCCATTGTCATTGTAACTTCTCTTTATTTTGTTCCTACAGTTTACTTCCAACATGAATTGGAGTAGACCAGAAATTGAAATTTGACCATTATTCATTAGATAAACATTTGATAATCCAATCACCGTGTTTGATTTTGTGGATACCAGCCATAAATTTCTTTTTCTTGGGCATATGTTTCCTAAAATTTCTCTTTAGTAACATGTCATTCATATGAGTTTAATTTGTAATGTGTATGAATATGTTAAAGGAGTTCTATGAGCATAGAAATCACCAAAGATCAAAAATTCCCAGTCATAAAAATATTTAGCTGTCTTGTCCCAAGACTTTGCTGACTGTAACTATGCTTTCCTTTTCCTCAGGTTTAAATCCAAAAGCTAAAATTTCCAACATACCCAGGGAGTGTATCAGGCGTTATTTTCCAAAACGGAAGTGTTTTGTCTTTGACCGGCCAACACAAGACACAAGTCTCCTAGCCAAAATTGAGAATATTTTGGAAAGCCAACTGGATCCTAAATTCCGGCAACAATCAGATAATTTCTGTTATTATATCTTCACCCATGCAAAGACCAAGACCCTCAGGGAAGGAGTCAAGGTCACGGGGAACCGTGAGTCTTCTTTTCTAAAACCATATTTCTGAGTGGCCTCATATGTGCTAATTATTTAATTACTAGAGGTCTGGTGCACAAAATCCAGTGGGATCGGGCCTAAACCAGCAGTCGGACATCCCTCTTACAATCTGGGACCTCTGGCTCCTAATTGCTCACCTGGTTGTCCCTAACTGCCTCCCTGTCAGTCTGGTCACCTCTTACTGACCCCCTGCCAGCCTGGTTACCCCTAACTGTGCCCCCCACCAGCATGGTCACCTCTAATGGTGCCCCCCCCACCAGCCTGGTCACCCCGCGCAGCATGCTGTTTAATCGTTTGGTCGTACCTCGCTAACCTCCCTGCTGGCCTGGTTGCCCCACGCAGCCTGTTTGTTCAGTCATTTGGTCGTCCCTCACTAACCCCCTGGCCAGCCTGGTCGTAGGGCATGAGGGTCAATTTGCATAATACCTCTTTGTTATATAGGATAATATGTGTTTTTCAGTAGTTTTGCTTTATTTTATATAAAAAATGTGTACTTATAAATATTCATACTCCATAGAGAAATGTGTATGTGCTTTTTAATTATCTCTTGTCATGTGATTAACAAATCCTTTCCGAAAACTCCCAATATTATCACTTATATCTTGGAATCCCATGTTTAAGAAGAACCCCACCACTGATAATAAAACCATTAACTGGGTATAAAAACAGAGTATGTTGTATTTTCAGGGGAAGTCTAATATAGTAAGTGTTTTTTCTCAAAGAGACTTCTTGGGAGTTTAAACCAATCCAAAATAAATACTTATTTCTGAGTACCTGAAATCTATTGAAAGCTTAAGAATTAGGAACAATTATTATCTGAATTATTTTTCCTATCTCTTTACCTGTGTAGTATATTTTTCTTTTATTTGTTTAATTTATAATAATTATTCAGACACCTCTGATTATGTTAGATAAAGGTAGGTATTTAACCTTTTTTTGTGATGTCCTGTAGAACACTAGAATAATGAATAAATGTGCAAATGAAGGTGTGATAGAAGTAGATTTGTGTGTGGTTTCAGAATTATAATATCAGATTCTTGGATCTCATTGAGTGATAAATTTATATTGATCCCTGTTTCCTATTTTATTCAGGGTTGGGGACTCTGGTGGTGACTTACGTAGATACCATCAATAAAGGATCAGTGCCTTGTTTGGAGAACGCAGTGACAACTCTGGCCCAGCTTGAGAATTCAGTGGCTGTGCAGAAGGCAGCTGACCACTACAGCGAGCAGATGGGCCAGCGAGTGATCTTTCCCACAGATACGCTCCAGGAATTGCTGGACCTGCATGCAGCCTGTGAGAGGGAAGCCATTGCAATCTTCCTGGAGCACTCCTTCAAGGATGACCAGAGGGAGTTTCAGAAGAAGCTCACGGTATTTTGTCTTGGTCTTTGTCCTTACTAATTCTTGCCCTTCTGGGATGATGCTTTCAGTTCTACAGATTCATCTCATAGCTCATCTTCTATTCAGCATAAAGTAGTCTGCATTTTCCAGAGAGGGAGAATATTTACTTCTTTTTTCTTCAAACTCAGGAAAGATATTAAAGATCTGTCTGATCTCTCAAGAAAACCAGCATTGGTTTCTCCTTTAGTGAATTGTGGCATGATTCCTGACCTCCTCAAAGTCATTTCTGAGCTGGTTAATCTCCACGTATATGCACTCCTATTTTAGACACTTGATTTCCTTAGCATACTCTTTTAACAGGCAATTATTTATATTATTTTAGTTGTATAATTTTTATCAAAGATAGATTCACAGGATACTACAGTTACTAGGAACTACAAAGAATATATAATGCAATCTCAAAATTTCAAAGGTGAAGATGAAGCCCAGGGAGGTTAAGAAGCTTTAACAGGGTCTTGTAGAGAGTTTTCAGAGTTGGAAATAAATTTGATTCTTGCTACATTGACTGGATGCTTTTATTAAGAGGACGACAGAGTACCCAGCTAATAAATTCTTTGGAATTTTATCTTCTATGTTCCTTTCTCTGGTGACACCCATCTACATTCCCATACAGGAAATCATAAAGAATAAGAAGGAGAGTTTATTGCTGAAGAATGAAGAGGCTTCTGAGAAATATTGCCAATATGTACTTGATCAGCTTTCAATGGCCCTAATGGAAAGTATTTCAGATGGAACTTTCTCTGTTTCTGGAGGGCACCAGAACTACAGGAGAGCAAAGGAAAGGATTGAACGGCGATATTGGGAAGTACCCAGAAAAGGAGTGAAGGTTAGAATTAAGGGGAACATAGGGATACTACAGATTAAAGTCAAGAGGGTCTCCTGAAAATATGAGAGCACAGCACCAGTTGTGGGTAATATGAGAGTATGGGGATAGCATGACTGCTTTAGCTTTTAAGGTCCTCTATTTGCTCTTTCTTCCTAAGTAGAGTAGAAATGTCCATCCTCAAAAATGAGTATAAATTTCTGAAATTTATGAGAGAGAGCAGAAATTATGCATTTCATTGTCTAACAACATGACATTTAGTGTACTATGTTTTGAGGCTTTATGATGGAAAGCTAGAATCTTTGCACTCAAACTGATCAAAGTGAGAAAGTCAAATAAATGGACAATTATATATAGTGGTAACATGTATGTACCTGTGACTCTGGGGTACACTGGTGATGGTAATAAATGTAATAATAACAGTACAATTAACATATCAAAGTACTACTAATAGTTACTACTTATTGGCAGAATATTAAGCTTTTTCTCTTAACATTTTAATTTGACCATCCAAAATGTTATGAAACATTTATTTTCTTACCCACATTTTATAGATGTGAATTAGGAGGCACAGGTAGGTTATATAATTTGCTTAAAGTTGCAAATCTAGCAAGTGCCTAGGGAGAACAGCAACATAGATTAGAGTCTACATTTCACATAGGGCATATCCTATATAATCCTATATAATAAAAGCCTAATATGCAAATCAATCTAACAGCAGAAGGACCAGTGTAATGACCAGTTGCTATGAGGTGCACTGACCAGCAGAGGGCAGATGCTCAATGCAGGAGCTGCCCGCTGGTGGTCAATGTGCTCCCACAGGGAGAGTGCCACTCAGCTACAAGCTGTGCTCATGGCTGGTGAGTGCAGAGGGGGTGACAGGAGCCTTTCCCACCTCCATGGCAGAGCTAAGGATGTCTGACTGCTGGATTAGGCCTACTCCCCGCTGTCAGTTGGACATCCCTCGAGGGCTCCCAGACTGTGAGAGGGTGTAAGCCTTGCTGAAGGACCTCCCGCTTCGAGTGCAAAAATTTCATGCACTGGGCCTCTAGTAGTCTATAAAATCTTCCCAAAGAGGAGGGGATGTAAAGTTTGAAATATTTGTACATGTTGTCTGGGTTGAATGTTATTCAAAGGAAAGAGCTGCAAATTCATAACAGAACGAAAGTTGTTATGGGTTTGTGCAACAGCACATAATTCTGACTGACTGACCTTGAGCATGTGGAATGAAGCAATACTGGAAGAGGGAATGGAGGAAGACATAGAGAGTCTTTGGTTACAGTAAAGTGCTTGGACTCTTTGTAGAGGATCTTGGAGCATTTTAAACAAAAAATAAAAATAACACATATGGACTTGTTTGCACAAAACAAATCTCCTCAGTGGAACTCTAAGTTCTTTGTCCCTTCTTGTGTCCTCAGGCAAAAGAGGTCTTCCAACGGTTCCTGACGTCACAGGTATCAATAGAGAAATCCATCCTGCAGGCAGATAAAGCCCTGACCCAAGGGGAGAAGGCCATAGCAGGTATGGGGCATGATGCAACTCTCAGTGTGGTGGCATTTCTTGCAATGCTCTCTGACAGATCACATTAAGATCTTTACAAAACAACAATTTTTTCCTTCTGTGGAATTTACATTCTGCCAAATCTGAACATAACAAGCAGAGTGTGGTTGTATGTCAACCAGACAGTCAAGGTCTTTTCCATTACATTATCAAACCTGCTCTTGATGGTGTAACCATTGGGTGAAATCTGAGATTCCTCATCTCTTTCAAATTTGATTTGTTCTCTAATCTCAAAATGTTAGAGTTCAGGCCTGATCTTATACTTTCTTCTTTTTCTAAAATTGTCATGGGGCAGAGGAGCGGGCCAAGAAGGAGCAAGCTGAGAAGGAACAGGAGTGGCTAAGACAGAAGCACAAGGAGCAGCAGCAGCAGATTGAGGCGCAAAATAGGAGTCTGGAGGAAAACATAGTCCAACTGAGAAAGAAGCTGGAGAAGGACAGAGACGAGGCTCTGAGAGAACAGACAAGGATACTGGAGCACAAGCTGAAGGTAAGTCTGGCCATGGCCTCAATAGTTGCTCATGGTCATCACCCTGGTAAATGAGAAAGGAATAGGTAAAAATTAATACAAAATTAAAAAGAAAACAACTACTGCTATTTACTGCATTTGATTCACCAAAAGTACCAAATCCTGGATTTCCAAGAGACCTTTGAGTTTTGCTCCCCACCGAGACTCTGGAGAGGCCAAGAAGACCTTGGGTCCTCCAAGTCCTTGGGGAATATGAATAGCCTCCCCAAAGTTCAAGTGTCTACATTAGTGGGATTCTAGGGTGATCTCATGAAGCCGTAATTAAACAAGGTTTTTAATAGATTATCAAGTAGATATTCTAACCAGATGTTGTTTTAATATAAGCAGCAACTGGGTACTTCACCAAGATTACTGTCAATTATCCAGAACTCTACTACCAGCAAAGACCCTGATTTGGGCCCATGCTGGCCTAAAACTATCAGATATATCTAGACGTAGAAATATGGGGAACTGACACCTTCTAAACCTGCTTCGGTTGTCTCCAAGTATGGATAGTTTGCCTAAGTCACCACATAGCATTGGGAGAATTCTCTTTTTTCTCATCTAGAAGTGTTTACATCAGATTTTTTGATCAGCTTATATGTTCCTATTATTGTTTCTACAATATGGGGGACCATGCCATTTGTACAAGTGGAATAATGATTCTCTCTTAATCCATACTTTTGGTTGGAACACATTATTGCATTGTTCTTCATGCCTGGCTAAGTAAGGTTGAAACCTATCCTTCCTCTCATTGATCAGGTCTAACCCAGAAGATGCTGTCTGCTCCAAATATTATCCTCTAATAATCTAATTAGAGAGACTACTTTTATGTAGAAAATAAAGAAAATTTAATAACATTCTTACATATAAAATTTTACTACTTAGAAATTGGGATTTTCAAAAGTTTACTTTTCCCTCTCTCCATACCCTTTATTTTAGATCCAAGAGGAATTGCTTAACGAAGGATTCAAGAAGAAATCTGATGAGATGGAGGCAGAGATAAATCGTCTGAAAAATTTGATTGAAAGTACTAAAAAGGATAAAACTCCCTGGATTGCACGGGCCCTGGACACACTTGCTGATGAACTCTCTGCAACCCTAGCTATCCCTGGGAAACTAATTGGCAAGGGTCTGAATGCTCTGAGCTCACTGTTTAAATAAGATTAGTTTTCTTTAAAGAAAATTATAGAATGTGCATATATGCTCTACCCTATTTTTGGTGTGTATGGTTTTTAATTTTACTCACAAAAGTTTTAAACATAAAAAGTGCCTACTAGAGGATTTTAGTGCCTAACATACATTGATAGATTGAGAGTTGGTTTTATTCATTTAAATTGAAAAACAAGCATCAATTTATAACAGAAGTTGGCAAAGTTGGCCTACAGGCTAAACCTATCCTGCTGCCTGTTATTGCAAATAAAGTTTTATTGAAACATCACCGCATGCATTTATTTACATATTGACTATGGCTACTTTTATACCACAACAGTAGAGTGAAGTAGTAGGAGCAATCACTGTATGACCCACCAAACCTAAGAGAATTCCTTTTAGACACTTTGTAGAAAGGGTTGCCACCCTCTGTTTTAAGAGGTAGAAAAAGACCATATTTGCAGTTGAACAAAAATTGCCTTTTAAAAAACATCAATAATGTTACTGAAAGTCACAAAAGAAGAGATATATATTCAAGTCAATTCTTGATATAGCATGTTCACTTTTAGGAAATACACATGCATAATTATATTATACAATCACACACACACACACACAGAAAATCCATTGCAGCATTATTTGTAATGGAAAGATTGGTAATATAAAGTTTAGTATATACATGAACTGGAATTCTAGGTAACCATTAAATAACTTGACAATGGAGATTATATATCCTATATAATAAAGAGGTAATATGCAAATTAACCTTCACACCCTCACAAGATGGCTGCCTATGACCAGGCTGGCAGGGGGTTAGTGAGGGATGACCAAATGACTGAACAGCAGGCTGCGTGGGGCAACCAGGCTGGCCAAGGGAGGGTGTCTGTAAGGGGTGACCAAGCTGGCAGAGGGGGGCAGTTGCGGGCAACCAGACTGATGAGGGGGGCAGTAAGAGGGAACCAGGCTGGTGGGGAGGCAGTTAGGGCTGACCAGGCTGGTGGAGGAGGCCAGCAGGGGGGGGCAGTTGGGGTGACCGGGCTGGCAGGGGGGGCATTTAGGGGCAACCAGGCCATCAGAGGGGGGAAGTTGGGGGCAACCAGGCCAGTCGGGGGGCAACTGGGGGCAATTAGGCTGGCAGGAGGGGCAGTGAGGAGTGACTAGGCTGGCAGGTGGGCAGTTAGAGGTGACCAGGCCGGCGGAGAAAGGGGACGTTAGGAGTGACTAGGCCAGCAGGGAGGAGGCAGTTGGGGGGCAACCTGACTGGCATGCAGAGGCAGTGAGGGGAGATCAGGCCAGCAGGGGTTGGCAGTTAGGGGTGACCAGGCAGGC